ACAGTTACTAAAATAAATGTGAGGAAATGTTCTGATTAGATATAGGACACGTATTCATCTCCCAGGGGAGCCAAATACGAATATTGGCATCATAGGTACCTGGGCCATTTTGACCCTCCCCAGAGAACCAGCTGGTCCACTTACTGCTCATGGCCATCGTTCACATTGCACCAATAATGAAAGTAGCCCAGCTGGTGCTTCCCCGCATCCCTACATAGCCAACCACTCTGACAAGGAGTCAGGATGACACATCTCCCCGCTTAGCTGCTGAGTGGTCAGTAGCGCAGGGAGGCAAGGTTGTGCCGGATGGGCTATTTCCACAATTGGCATGGCACGAACAATGATGGCTGCATGCATCACGTGGCATGCGTTAAGTGGACCAGCTAGTTGTGAGGGAGCGTCCAAATGGTCCAGGCACCTGTTGTGCCAATATTTGGCCAGTTGCTCTGTCCCATGGCATTTAGGTCATTGAGTTCCTCAGGGCTCGATACTGTCCCCCATGCTGTTTAACATCTGCATGGAACCGCTGGGAGAGGTCATCAGGAGGCTTGGGCTGAGGAGTCAGCAATACGCTGACGACACCCCGCTCTACCTCTCATTCTCTACCAATCCAGGTGAGGCGGTTTCTGTGCTGATCTCATGGCTGGACCTGATTATGGACTGGATGAGGTTTAATAAATTGAAACTCAATCCAGACAAGACGGAAGTGCTGTTAGTGGGTGCTTCACCGGACAGACTGGAGGGCCATTTCCCTGCCCTGAATGGGGCTACACTTCCCCTAAGGGACAGGATCCACAGCTTGGGGGTGCTCCTGGACTCCAGTCTAACTCTGGAAGCCCAGGTGGACTCAATGGCCAGGGGTGCCTTCCTTCAGCTAAGGAAATTATACCGGCTACAACTTACCTGGACGAGCAGAGTCTCATGACAGTTACACACTCACTGGTAACATCTTGTATAGATTACTGCAATGCGCTCATCGTGGGGCTGCCTTTGAAGACAGTTCATCAACTGCAACTGGTCCAGAATTGAGCTGCGCGGCTGGTGAGTGGTGGTGCCACTAGGGGACACATCAAGCTGATTCTGTTTAAATTACATTGGCTACCAGTTGCTGCCCGGGCCCAATTCAAAGTGCTTGTTTTGACATATAAAGCCCTAAATGGCTTGGGCCCTGGATACCTGAAGGATCACCTCCTTCCATATGAACCTACCTGGCAGTTAAGATCTAGCCAGGGGGCCCTTTTGAAAGAGCCATCCCTCAAGGAGGTAAGAGGGACAGCTTGTAGACAAAGGGCCTTTTCGGCAGCTGCCCCCAGACTATGGAATGCCATCCTGACTGAGATTCATCTGGTGCAGACGCTGATGACATTTTGGCACCAGGTCAAAACCTTCCTGTTCAAAAAGGCTTTTAATTGAAATAATATCAACTGTGGGTCCTGATGGTAATTTTTAGAGTACAGTGGTGCCTCGCTTAATGAGCACTTCGTTTAACGACGAATTCGCTTAGCGATGACTTTTTCAGAGCGTTTTTGCGCTCCGTTTAACGATGGTCCCTATGGGTGATTTTCGCTTAGCAATGTTGGGACCATGCTTCGCACAACGATTAAATTTTTGGGTCCCCTGTTTCGCTTAACAATGGTTTAAACAGCCTCATGTTTGCTGTTTTTTAAATGTTATAAAGTTAAAGTTTACTGTTTAAAATGTTTGAAATCATAAAGTGCACTTAATAAACCCTTTGTTAACCAAATTTGACTTTGTTCTGACTCTTTTTAAATTTGTTGTTGATTTTTCCCCCCATTGAGATGCATTGAATAGGTTTCAATGCATTTCAATTGGGGAACTGCATTTTGCTTAGCGAAGTTTCCTATGGCGATTTTCGCTTAAGGATGGCAATTCGTTCCTATTGCAACGGATTATCCGGTTTTCAGTGCATTTCAGTGGGAAACCGCATTTCGCTTAGCGATGTTTTCACTTATCGACAAATTTTTTGGAACCAATTAAAATTGTTAAGTGAGGCACCACTGTATATATTTTAATTGTATTTTAATTGTTTTATCTTTTTTGCTGTGTTTTAATTGTTGTAAGCCACCCAGAGACTTTTAGGTAGTGTGGGCGGCGTATAAAATAAATAAATAAATAAATAAATAAAGAAAGAAAGAAAGAAAGAAAGAAAGAAAGGAAACCATATTGTAATGATTCTGCTTCTTTCTGAAAAATGGATTTCAGAAATGCTGGGTGGCAGTTGCTCCACCACATGTAGAAATGTCTGAGGCATATGACTTGCTTTGGCATACAGGATTAGCTGGCTGGATAACTCCATGAGTCAGGTATCTGGCTGTCTAGCCAGAGGTTGGGAGTTCAGTTCCCCACTGTTCATCCCGGAAGAGTCAGCCTGTGTAGCCTCGGGCAAGTTGCACAGTCCCAGGAAACCCCCAGAAGGAGGGAGTGGTAGACCACTTCCGAGTACACTATAACTAGAAAACCCTGAAAAGGGTCACCATAAGTCAGAAATGATTTGATGGCACATTGTTGTTGCTATTCAGAAATACCAGGCATAGTCAACCAAGCTTATAAAAACATTCCAGCATCATATAACAGATACAGGTTTTAGCCTATTATTATTGTTGTTGTTGTTGTTAATTAAAATTAATTAATTAAAAAGACCAAGCACAGTCAATCAAACTGTAAAAACATTGACTGGTATTATATAACATACAATTTTTAAACCAAAAACTTTAGTACAGTGGTGCCTCGTATAACGAGTGCCCCGTTTAACGACGAATTCGCATAGCGATGGCATTTTTGCCATCGCTTTTGCGATCGCATACCGATGTTGCCTATGGGGAAAAATCGCTTTGCAATGTTTTCCCCATAGGCACCATTTTCCCCCAGCTGAGCGGCGGGAGCCTCCCAAGGAGCGCTCCCGCAGCTCAGCTGGGGGAAAATGCCTGCGGTGGCCTCGGG